GGGGGAGAGCAATCCTGCAGCAGCGTTCTGCTGTACGGATCACTCTCTGGAGAGCTTTTTGGTCCTTCACACAGCTGTTCCCAAACCACGATGTCATGTTCTGTGTGAGGATGCTCTCCACAGCGCCTGTATAGAAAATGTGAAAGGAATACATGGCAAATGAAAGTACTTATTTTCCCCTCCACAAAGTCTAATAAAATGAAAAGCGGGATAATGTGGGACCCTATAAAGGCTCAAAAACTAGTGGAAAAAATAAGGAATCATTAATAAATAATAATAAATAAAATAATGGAACTGGGAACTTCTTCGGCCCACCCGTCCACACAACTCCAGGTCCAGGCATCACTGAAAAAAAGGAAGAACACCCTGCCACAATGACCAGCTGACTTCAAAGTTTTTATGATTTCTCTTGGAAATGACATTTGTTCACCATGCAGGTGAAAATCCCCTGAGGTGTTGTAGGTTTGAAAACCTGCTGAGTTTTATATTAAGCAGGTTTGATAGAACTAAGATACAGCGACTTTCTGTGAACTTCACCTGAATGCACGTGTGACTCCTCGTCTCCTGACTTCAGTTTGACACTTTGCAGTCACACCTGTTGAATCCCTGAGGGCATCTTTGAGGTTTGTTTGTTGTTTACCTGTTTAACCCCGGCTTTTCTTTGTCCTCAGACTCCTCGTCGTCCTCCTCCTTCAGGGACTACCTCCTCTCGTCTCCCGACAGCGACCTTTTCCACGTTGTCATTTACCTGGCTCCAGGTGACTACCACTGCTTCCATTCGCCCACAGACTGGAGGGTGGAGCTTCGGCGTCACTTTCCAGGTGAGAGTGTGTTCACCTGTGCAGCCATGTGGTCTTTGCGCCCCCACCCTGACCCGCCTGTGTGTCCTTCCTCGTTAGGCTCGTTAATGTCGGTGAACCCAGGCGTTGCTCGTTGGATCAAAGAGCTCTTTTGCCTTAACGAGCGTGTGGTTCTCACCGGCCAATGGCAGCAAGGCTTCTTCTCATTAACGGCGGTCGGTGCCACGAATGTCGGTTCAATCAGAATTTACTTTGACCAGGTGACGTTACTTTGTGTTCCTGTGGTTTTTCTGAACGTTTTGTTTTGATCAGTTCTTGTTGGTCTTTCTTATCTCGTTCACTCTGTATAGTGAAATATTGATTAACTGATTGACTGATCGATTGATGGTTGGTTTTAACACTTCCTGTTTTAATTGCTCAGGAGCTTCAGACCAACACACCTCGTTACAGTAAAGGCTCCTTTCATGATCACAGCTACATTGCTGACCAGACGGTGAAGTTTGCTGGTGAAGGGGGCGTGGCCTTACAGAAGGGAGAGTCGGTCGGGGAGTTTAACCTGGGCTCCACCATCGTTCTGCTTTTCGAGGCCCCCAAAGACTTCAGCTTCAACCTGCAGCCTGGCCAACGAATCAGAGTGGGAGAAGGCCTCGGCAGCCTCTAATTGGATGACTTACAGGCTCAGGGGGCAGGGCCGGATCAGAGACAGATTTTAAGAGAGGAGTTTTAGGAATTCTGGGTATTTTTCTCTGCGGAGGACTCGAAATGGATGCTTATCACAACAAGCACGCAGACTCCCAGAATGCCTTGTGCCTGTGAGCGGGAAATGCCAAACCCCTCCCTCTCTGTCCCTCTCACTCAGAGACTCGACCAGCAGCTGAACACATTTCTGTTTGAATGTTTCAAACTTTATTGCTCACAGGTTTTTGTTAGCATCAGCTAGCTCACATCTGATTGGAGGCCAGTGATTGGTTGAAGGGTTATTATTACTAATTTGTCTCATTAATCTTGTTTTTTGTTTTTTTTGTTTTTTTTGTGGGATTTAAATGTGACACCTCCTCCATTTTCTCTGCTTTTGTAAAAGATCTAATTATGAATAAAGTTTTTTTTTTCTTTTTAAATAGACTGCACGCACATTCCTCTTTCTAACCTTCCAGTGGTCGCAGTGGAGTGTGAGAGTTGTGTGAGAGTGTGGCAGCAATTGGATGGTGTCCCTTCAGTCAGCGGAGAGCCTGCCGAGCTGTGGCGGCGAAGTCAAACTAAAAATGTATCTTTATTAAATAAAAATGTACAGAATTTATTTACTCAATTTTTATTTTCATCTGAAAGGTTAAAAAAATGAAGGCAGCAGAAATGTTTTGGGAACGTTTGTCGCACCTTATCTTAAGCTCAGGTAAAACATGTTCACAGTTCGTCCTAATTCCTGATCAGTGGCAGAAGTCAGCAGCAGCAGTGTGGTATTAATGGAAGGTGTGTCTGTAATATCAGAGTGATGTTGATGTTAAGAGACAGAAATAAAGAGAGATGATGAGTTTTAGGCTAACATATAAAGGCTAACACATTTATAAAATACAGCGAGGGCCTGAGCTTCCCACCAACTTCTCAGCTGCCCAAACTTTTATTTACTTTGTATTATTAGACTTCTTTTGTGTCTATTATTAGACTCTGAATTACTGTCCAATATTTTGTCACGTTCACTTTTTTATTTGTTTTTTGGGGGTGGGGGTAGATATGTTTAAAAAGCATCACAGTGCGCTGGTCAATTTAGAAATATACAGCTTTTTTAAATACCAATTTTCATACCAGATTCCATTTATTTTCTTTTACTTTACTTTGTCATTGTTGAATTGGAAGATGAAGCTTTGCCCCAGTCCAAGGTGCAAAGAACTCTGGAGCAGGTTGTCATCAGGGATGACTCGCTGTATTTATCTTTCCCTCCATCCTGACTAGTCTTCTGCTGAAAAACATTTCCACAGCATGATGCTGGCACCACCGCTTGGTTTGTACTCATAGTGACACTATCAACCATGGGACAATAGTCAAGTCAAGTTGAGTTTTATTGTCAACCCAATAATATACACTCAAACATACAGTGGGATAAAATATCGTCCTCCTGGATCGAAGGTGCAAAGTGTAAAAAATCTGAAAAAATGTGAATATACATATATATACATATACAGAAATAAGATAAACTAAGAGTACAACACTATTGTACTTAAGTAGAAAAGAACAGGAATAAATAAATAAATACAATACACAGTCGAACAGTGCAATACCGAATAGTGCAACTATTGGAAGTGAGAGGAGAGTGTTATGCAAAGTGTTATGTAGTCCAAGAAGTGTGTGGAGAAGAGAGTCCAGTGTGGAGGAGCCGGAACGCTATTGGACAATCTCGCCGACCTGCTCCTGATAGTTCAGAGTCCACTTCCGGATGATGGGGTGATGCAGGTCAGCCATGATGCTGATAAGAATCATCAGCCAATAAGAATTAAGGAAGCAGTTACATTACTGTGCAATATCCTAAAACCAGACGGGGAAGAAGATGTAGTATTTTCATCCAGGTAACTCTTAAGCTGATTATATACCAGCCTTTCAAGAACCTCAGCTGAGACACAGAGTTTAAAAATTGGTCTGTAATTATTGACCATTGAAGAATCATTACTTTTCAGTAGCGGGAGTACGAAGGCGCAATTCCACATCTCCAGTAATGTATTCTGTTGTATGGAAAATTAAAAAAAATAAATCTGACTTAGCTATGATACTTGCAGCCAGGCCCAAGAAGAAAGGAGACAGACTGTCCGGACAGGTTGACTTTTTAGTGTTGAGGTTCTTCAAAGCCTTGCATGCTTCTTCTCCCATAAAAGGTTTAAAGGAAAAAGTATTAGTTATCAGGGCACTGCTAGAAAAGTTGTATGCAAGAATTTTCCCATCCGATACTGTGCTAAACAAAGAACAAGAAGCAACAAAGTGTTTGTTAAAACAATTGAACATTTCAGTTTTGTCTGACACAGGAGTGGAGTCAATAATGAAGTGAGGAGGTAGCTCAGAGGAATGAGAGCTGGCAGAGACTTTATAGTTTGCAAAAATCTCCGGTCATCAGTGGTTAAGGTCAAAAAATAGTCACATTTGGCCATCCCGATGGAGGGAGTAAACTGATTACCCAACTGATGAGTCAGACTTTCTCGTCCAGGCCAGGTTTCTCTGGTTCGCTTATCATGTGTCATGTGACCTGAAAGTCAACTGACACAAGTTGCGTGTGGGTGTTGAAGCGCTTGGGAAGGATCTCAAAACGGTGTTGTAGGTGGTTGACAGTTGTTGTTCAATATCGGCCATTCACATCAGCTTCTTTCACGCCTCATCAATTTCTTTTTCTTTCTTTCTTTCTTTCTTTCTTTCTTTCTTTCTTTATTTAATGCTTTGCTCTATCATCCTGCATTTTTACTGATTTGGTTCACACCATGCTTGACAAAAACATGGATGGTGTATTAGTTGCTCCATTTAAACACAAGCAGGTGTCTGAGAAAAGACAACACTTTATTAATAAAAGATATGTTGGTGTACAGCTGTCGTGCACTTTCATCACTTTGTAGGAGATGTTCAATAGCACACTTTCCTGTACGATCAGAATATACACTACTGTTCAAAAGTTTGGACACACCTTCTCATTCAATGCTTTTTCTTTATTTTACTACTTTCTACATTATAGATACAAACTGAAAACATCTAATATCTGAAGATATATGGAATTATGTAGCAAAGAAAACATTGATAAATAACTCTAAATATGTTTTATATTTTAGATTCGTGAAAGTAGCCACCCCCTGCTTTGTTGACAGCACTGCAAACCCTTGGCCTTCTCTCAATGAGCTTCATGATGGAGTCCCCTGAAATGGTTTTCATGACACAGGTGTCTTGTCAGGGTTCATCTGTGCCTTCTTGTCCCAACCCCATTACTCCGTTGTTGTGCAGAAGTGAGGTTGCTACACAGCTGACAGGCTTATTTAACAACTGTTAGAAATCATATTATAACAAGAACTAATCAGCAAAGTAAAGAGAAATGGCAGTCCATCATTACTGTAAGAACTGAAGGTCAGTCAGTCTGGAAAATTGCTAAATCTTTGAATGTGTCCCCAAGTACAGTCGCAAAAACCATTAAGCTGTATAATGAAACTGGCTCATATGAGGACCGCCCCAGGGAAAGGAAGACCAAGAGCCACCCCTGCTGCTGAGGATAAATTCCTCTGAGTCACTGGCCTCAGAAATCACAAGTTAACAGCACCTCAGATAAGAGCCCAGATAAATCCAGATAAATGCCACACAGAGTTCCAGTAGCAGACTCATTTCTACATCAACTGTTCAGAGGAGACTGCAGGAACCACTACTAAGGAAAAGCAACAAGCAGAAGAGATTTGTTTGGGTCAAGAAACACAAAGAAAGGACATTAGACCAGTGGAAATCTGTGCTTTGATCTGATGAGTCCAAATTTGAGATCTTTGGTTCTATCCACTGTGTCTTTGTGCGACACAGCAAAGCTGAATGGATGCGCTCTACATGCACGGTTCCCACAATGAAGCATGGAGAAGGTGTGATGGTGCTTTGCTGGTGACAATGTTGGTGGATTTATTCAAAATTGAAGGCACATTGAACCAGCGTGGCTACAGCAGAATCCTGCAGCGACATACCATCCAGTTTGCCTTTAGCATCATTTATTTTTCAACACGACGATGAACACAAACACACCTCAGGCACATCTCACTGAATGCCTTCAGTTAGAATCTACAATGTAAATAGTTGTGAAAATAAAGAAAAAACATTAAATGAGAAGGTGTGTCCAAACTGCAAGTGTACATGAATGTGTAAAATAGATTAAGTAAAGTGTAGTTAATCCATTCAGGTGTGTGTGTGTGTGTGTGTGTGTGTGTGTGTGTGTGTGTGTGTGTTTTTGTGTGTGTGTGTGTGCGCTTTCCTTTCTTGTTTAGGAATACAGTCTCTCAGACAGCTGCTCACTTTCACCTCACAAGTTTCTTTCTTAGGAGTTGATCAGCTGATAGGTTTGCAGCACCATTACAGCCCCACCCAGTGGATGAACACAGCCATTACCACCAATCAGAAGACTGTGTAGGTCTCAGTCATCCAGGTCATCGTAGTCTAAGGAACTTGGAAACAAAGCAACTGGACAGGAAGGGAAGGCTCCTTAGAAGACCCTGTGAAACATCGTGGGTCAGCTATTAATTATCTGCAGCTGTATATCAGGCAATCCTTACAGATGCATACAATCAGAAATCTTCATTTCTTCATTTCTTCAGTGAGTTCTAAACTTTTTTTTAAACCTCAGAAACTCTAACCTTCTCTGGGAAGATCTTTTTTGCCCCAATCACGGATTATTATCATTAGATGGCAGATGTTAATTTGTTGTTTTACTAAAACGTCTGAGGTTGTTTATAGCTTATCTAACTTATTTGAAATATGCTGACATCAAATTCTAAAAAAAAACAACAGATATCTTTTCACATGTTTCATGTGTTTTCAGTAAAATAAAAGCATTCGATGATTGGCAGATCATTGCATTCAGCTTTTATTTACATTTTACAGAGCTCCATTATTTTTAGTAACTACCAGGTCAAACAGCAGAGACAGGTCTATACTTTCATAGTCACTATCCATCCATCAATCCATCACCATCCATCATCCTCTCAGCCATTCTCTATCCATACTTGTACTGTTTGTCTAGTTTGGGGTCTTGGGTAAGCTGGAGTCTAAGCTATCAAGGGGTGAGGGAAGATCACAGGTTAGTGATTCATGCATTTCAATTCAATCCAGTTCAATTCAATGTAACTTTTTTTCAAGGTGCTTTATATTGTAAGGTAAAGACTCTACAATACTACAGAGAAAACAAAGAAAAGCCAACAATTATATGACCTGCTATAAGCGATCAGAAACTGCAACAGGTGATTTCCAGCCTTCAACATAAGGTTTAAGGAGCTCTTCATGCACCAACTTGCATCAGTAAACTTTTACATCCATAGGTACCCAGGATGTTCCTGAGGTCATCTAATCAGGGCCTACTGGCTGTGCATCATACAAGGCTGAGTCAGAGCTTTTGCAATAGTCGCTCCTTTACACTGATTTCTTCCCCCGCCCCCCGAGGTTCAGATCTGTAGACTCAAAGTCACTTTTAAAACACAGCTAAAAAGTCATTTCTTAGGTTTGTGTTTCTGGTTAACTCTTTTTCATGTTCAGGTATTTTGTTGTGAAGCACTTGTTGCCTAGTTGCCATGGTAATTAAATTATCTTTAGTTCTTGTTTACCTCTTCACTGGAAACGGTCAAAATATCCCCTTTGATTAAATTGCATTAAGGAGGAACTCAGGGACCAATAAAGAGTGAACTAAACTTTCATCATTGAGCCCTTCTAGCCCCACCCATTGTTGTTAGCCCCGCCCTGGGCAACAGAACCAGCAGCACAAGCAATAGGAAAGTGGTGGACAGCAGTTGCCATAGTGATGGAAGCGGGGCTCAGCCAGCCCTCCGTGCGACCAACCATCATCCACAGCCTCCTTCCCCAGCCACAGCTTCCCGTCCTGGGCTGCGTCTGCTGCTGTCAGGCCCTCTCTGCGACCGGAGCTCCAGGAGGAGGAGGAGGAGGAGGTGCAGGCCTTCACTCCCAGGAAGGTGGCCAGGTCCAGGTCCAGAGCTGCGGCGCCTCCTCTGGGTGAAGGCGTGTTCTGCCGGCACTGAGGACACGGGATCCACACCTGAGGAGCACAGGGGAGTGACTACAGACACACAACTTCTGTACCAGACCCCTCAACTTTAGGTCTGTCTGATTAACCCCTCATCTGCTCATCCCTGACCTCTCAAGTGTGTCAGACATTACCTGTGGACACAGCTCTAATTCAGTCTTTAACTGCTGCTGCTCACATTTGCATGCCTGTTACTCTTCCACGTCCTTCGCTTCTCACAAACTCAGATAAGTGTCTGTGATGTCATCAGTCACCTGTTCGTTGATGACTGTGTTCAGTCTCTTCAGACACGCCTGGCAGAAGGTGTGGCCACAGTGTAGTCGCCTAGGTAGCCGCTTTGCCAGGTCGTAGCTTCCGAAACACACAATGCACACCAGATCCTGCCTCCTCAGTGACATCATTGTCTCCAAGGCAACAGAGGCTGGAGGAGGGGGAAGAGGCTGACAGGTGACTTCTTCCTCCTCATCTTCTTCTTTTCTGTCATCAGACATTTTGATCTGATTGAACGAGAAGAAAAGGCCATCCATATTAACCCTAGAACACTATCGCTATAAATAGTAACACGATCACTAATGCCGGGTGATTTTTTTACCCGGTATAATATAACCAATGAAAAGTAATCAAATATATCAAAATATGACAACACATGACAAATTAGAGTGGTCTTCTTTTACTTTCAACTGTGCCATGTCTAACAAAATGAAAAATAAAACTCCTAAAACAAAATAATGACTCTGGAAAGCTGGTCTTTGGTCCACCCATTCCTGGGACATTTGAGACTTCCCTGGTGATGGCACAGGCTCCTCGACACGCAAACAGCTGCAGGAGAGAGAAATCATGTAAATGTATTTTCTCGGGTGTAAATCACCCAGCGATAGTGTTCTAGGGTTAAACCAATCACAGAATCCACCTGAGCCTCCAGTGTTGGGAAGGTAACTTTTGAAATGTATTCCATTACAGATTACAGAATACATGCCCCAAAATATATTTTGTAGCATATTCCGTTACGTTACTCAATGAGTGTAAAGTATTCTGAATACTTTGGATTACTTAATATATTATCATGCTTTTTACAACTACATGAATGTACTATTGCTGTGTGATTTATTACTTTTACTGAAGGTTACTCGCCATACCAATACCAACTAGAACTTTAAATCTTAATATAAATGAGTAACAGTAGGGTGGACATTAGTAAGGCTGCACTTTTTGCATCGATCTCATATAGAAAACTATTCCGCACGTGTACAAAAGGCACCGTAGTTATGGTTTTATTCTGTTCAGTTGTTAGTTCACCTGTAGTTTTTAGAGTGGCCAGTAGAGGTCACCCCACCGCTTTGTATGAGAGACTATGTCCAGGGAGAAACGTGGGCAAAGCACATGAGCTTTTCTGCTCCAGATTACCGGCAGAGAATTGGTTATTCCGTGAGAAGTGTGCGTTAATGAGCAACAGACCACACACTCACACACACACACACACACACGCACCTAAACCTGTATGCAATGCCTGCTCCTCTGACAATCCCTGTTACCTTCAACTGTGTGAAGTCAATACAAGAGTCTGCACTATCCTCGGTGTCTTCATTGTCTCCCTTCTGAACATTCATCCGGGCCTTGAGCAGTGTTCTGGCTGACACTCCAGGGAGTGGTAGCTGCAAACCTGAACTAGCACCTTACAGTCCTTCCAGTACAAGCTATCTCCCCAACAGCATGTATATAAAACAGGTCCGCGGCTCCGAACCGTAAAGGCATAAAACCGTAAAGAGATCTCTGGCTAATACGTTGGGTTCCGTGTTGGGCTCGTAGCCGAAAACTGGATTTACTTTGTTGTCAGGGTCAACTTTGTATATATATATATATACATATTTACATGCTTCCATCTCCTGTTTCTGGTTGGTGACATCTCTTACTTTTCGACTCCTTCTCCTTCCCTCGCGCTCACAGACTCATCACGGGTATGGCAGTCCATTCTCCCTGCAGCACGGACTACTCTGCCCATGAGGCTACTTTCTTTAGGGCAATGCCTGTAACACTCTGCCTATTGCCTTCATATTAAATCATTTTTGTGAATAACTTTTTAAAATATTTCTTCAGGTCATTATGCGGGCCACAAGTAGAGGTGACATGGGCCACAGGCATTAGAGCCTCTTAATGCGTGTTTTGTTTGGGTTTACACCAAAAATATAGAGTTCATAACCTTATGAAACAGGAAAATACCGCCGTGTAATCCATTCATTTCAACATAGTAACTGTATTCTGAATACCATCGTTTAAAACGGTAACTGTAAGGGAATACAGTTACTCGTATTTTGTATTTTAAATAGGTAGCGGCAGTACACATATTCCGTTACTCCCCAACACTGTGAGCCTAAGAAACACCTGATTTACAACAAAACTTTAGTTTATTTAATGAAGTGTTTGATCTTTGGTTTCTGGTTTCTGAATATTCATTTATTTAGCATTGTTCATGGTGTAGTCTTTGTATTTCTAGTTTCTTGGCTATTTTCTGTAGTTTCTAGGATTTTGATTTTCTTCGGTACCTCTTCTGGGTTCCACGTGTCATGTCTAGTCCCCCATATCTCTATGTTCATGCATCTCCTGTGTCCAGACAGCGTTCCCGTTCTGCCTCCCTAGTCAGTTATGTTCTCATGTCTGTTTCTTCCCCAGTCACAGCGTCAAGTCTGTGTCTTAGTGTGTGTCTCACATTTCCTGTTTTATTTTGACAGTTCCAAGTCCTGCATTCAGTTTTGCTTCCTCCCTGTCTGCTTATGTTAGCTCTCTCCCAGCTGTGTTCCCCATGTGGTTCTACTTCCCTCGCTACCCCTCTGTGTATTTAAGCCCTTTGTCTTCCTCTGCTTGTTGTTGTGTTGTCCCACTAGCTGTGTGTTTCTCGGCTCCCTAGTTTATTCCCAGTTGTTTATTTCTGAGTATTTGGTTATTAGTGCTTCTATGTTTAAATATCGTTATTTCAGCAATATAGCTGTCTCCCTTAGTTCACTCTTTTGTTTTGAGTCCTGCGTTTGGGTCCTGAACTTGCCTGCCATGCAGCACTCATGGTGACTTTATCTGTTCTGTTATCAGGTTTCTCTTAGTCTCCAGGGTCAGTGAACCAATAAAGATAAAGCGATAAAGGAGAAATACGCTCTCTTTCTCGTCCCTGTCAGTACCCTTGCAGTAGCATTTTGGATCAACTGAAGGCTTGTTAGGGAGTTTTTAGGACATCCTGATAATAATGAATTACAGTAGTCCAGCCTAGAAGTAATAAATAGATGAACTATTTTTTCAGTGTCACTCTGAGACAGAATCTTTAGTGATATTGTGAAAATCGAAGAAAGCAGTCCCACATATTTGTTTAATATGTGCATTGAAGGACATATACTGGGCAAAAACCATGATATGTCACAGGTTACTACTGGCAACAGTAATGCCCTGCAGAATAAGTATCTGGTTAGATACTGTATTTCTATTCTATTTAGGACCGAGTAGAGTAACCTCAGTTTTATCTGAATTTAGAAGCATAAAATTTGAAGATGATCCCATGGTGGTTGGGCTCATCTCTGATGGAGATGAGACAGTGTACAGGGTGGAGGCAGAGAATTTGTCCTGCTGGTGCTCACAAAATAACCTGAAGCCGAACGTCCTTAAAACCAATGAACTCATAATGGACTTCAGGAGGCACAGACAGGTCCACTCCCCTCTCATTATAAATGGTGAACTGGTGGGATCGGTCCCCACGTTCAGGTTTCTGGGCACGCACATCTCCACTGTACTCCCCTGGACCCACAACACCATCACCCTTGTGGCTGAACGTCCTCCATGTCCTGAGAAAGAATAACCTGGACCCGAAGCTGCTTCTACCGCTCCTCAGTGGAGAGCATGCTCTCCTCATGCCTGGGTGTTTGGTACGCAGGGGCCACGACTGAGAACAGGAAGGCTGCACAGAGGGTAATTAACACCGCCCAAAAAAAACCACCAAAAAGTCTGCCCTCTGCCACCCCTGGAGGCCATTACCAGATCCTCCTGTCTCAGGAAAACCAGGGCCATCACAGGTGACCCCTAGCACCCCAGCCACAACAGGCATTAGACACATTAGATGTTGTGCAGTTTGCAGTAAATGGTGTGCCAGAGAGTTTGAAATTCCCATTTGTGACTTATTTAAATGTTGTTGGCTGAAAGTGAATGTCTTACAAAATGCACATTCCATAAGGCCAGCAAAAAAAACAAACAAAAAAAACCTCCTGTTCACAACTGTCAGTCAGACAACTGACACTGTGCCTCTTTGTAACATCCTCAGGCTCCTTTTTCCAGTCATTGATTCTGCTCTGAATATTTCTCCATCTTCTTGTATTAATAGTTCTTCAGAAAGATTTTTGCAGTTTTTTTAATCAATAAGATAAAATGGCTTTGATCTATGATGGCCCTGCCTTCACCTGCTCTTCTGTCTTTGATAAGTTTGAGCCTGTGTTTTGATCAGGTGGAGAAACTATGAAAATGGCCTGATGATCTTGTCTAAATGATGTTGTTTCAGCTCTTTAAAACACTGAAACTGCACATTTAAAAGTGGTGACTCAGCTGTTCTTTTGCTTTTGGATCTGACAGTTTGATACTGTTGACTACAGCATGTTGCTCTCACGAGTGGAGCATTGCGCCATTAAGGGCATTCTACTAGAGTGGTTCAGGTCATACCTGTGTGACAGGAGTTTTTCTGTGAACTTTGGAGATTTTACATCTTCATCATTCCCCCTTATTTGTGGAGTTCCTCAGGGATCTATATTGGGGCCAATTTTATTATCTGTTTATATGCTGGCTCTAGGTCTAATTCTCGTAAAATATCAAATTTGTTTCAATTCGTACGCTGATGACACTCAGATCTACCTTCAACTGAAGGGATGGTGTTCTGCTCCACTAGAACCCTTACTTCCGTGCCTGGATAGCCTCCAAATTGCTTAATAAGAACTGAAGTGATAATGTTTGAACCATGTGAGCAATATTTCATATTGATATGTTATTTTGTACTCCTGTAAAGCACTTTGATCAACGTTCCTGTTGTAATTACATGTTCGAACTTTAACTGAACAGATTCCACAGACAGACATTTCACACTTTACTTTAAAAACCAGCCCCTTAATACTACTTTTAAACCATTTGTGGAAAACCTCCAAAACCTCCACTGTGCCCTTTTCCTCTGGGCTGACTAAAGCAGCATATATATGCAGAGTGTCACAGTTGGGGAAGCTAACTACATGGAGTGAGGAGGAGGACCCAAGTGCAGACACGCGAGAACAAAAATCTTAACAGAAAGTGAGCTGCTTTTAACAATACAAAACAAAGGGCAAGGCAAACTAATCCAAAACTAAACATCAACCTGAACTGGGTAAACTAAAATAGAACATGAAAAACCCTGACATGGACATGAACAAAGCTAGACATGAATACATGAAACAACAGATGGCCTGACAATGGATGCGTGACAGCAGACCACATGAGTGCA